GATGGGACAGACGTAATCAGTTGTCTAGATAGGAGGTCGAGTGAGCTAGAAGGACTACCGTTGAGCAGGTTTTAGAGTCGGAATAACAGACCCTGAAGAAGATGCTGGTGACATGTCGCTAGATGGAGATGACTCTGCTAGATTGTATCAAAGTGAGGACCAGTGGGTGATGGAGAATCTGAATCTATCGAAGGTAAACTGATGTCAGTGGCAGGGAGCATGGTAAAAAGAGGTCCTACCGAAGATGCGGACGGATCATCGTCCAAGCAAATAGGCAACGGTTGAGTGAGCGAGCTTGAATCGGCGTCATTGTCAATAAAGGGAAAAATATTTTCATGGAAAACAACATCTCGAGAGACTAGGAACTTGTTCTTAGTCGAATCATACATAAGGTAACCCTTTTGGAGCATGAGATAACCCATCAAAACACATTGAGTGACCCAAGGTCTAAATTTTTCATGTGACCCAATGAAAGCAGAGTAACAGAGACAACCAAAGACACGGAGATGACTGATGTCTGGTGGTTTTCCAAATAAGATTTCATATGGAGTCTTACCATTGAGCACTCAAGTTGGCATGTGATTGATCAAGTTGTCAGTATAGGTACCCTAGAGTCAATAAATTATTGTAATATTGACTCTTTGTAAATCATGTGTATTAATAAAAAAAAATGCGTTTTTCTTCTATATCATGTAATTCATAATTGTATGTTTTGATATATATCCTTAAGATGGTAAAACCGTGACGAGGGTATTGAGTGTTTTAAATCTCGATAGTAAGGACTCTAGAATCACATATGGTGGCTATTCTAGAAACGTCTGTAGCTCCAAATATTATTCTGACTAAGGGCACATATAATACGGTAGACTATCATAGTGTTGAATGACCCCATCGAAAGACAGTGACTGATCTCACTTGTCAAGATTGCTTAGCGACAACTTAGTGCAATACATCGGTGCTTGCTGTCTACAAGTTTACTAGATTGACCCACCAAAGGATTCCACATAGATGGTAACCCTAGTGTTTATGGAATAGATCTTCTAATGAATGGTAGTGTATGTGATCCCTAGACTTGAGATCACCAGAGTGTCTTGTACACCGATCGATGTTTGACACTAGCCCAACATAATCATGTTTAGGACTATCAGAATGGTAGTGATTGGTTGCATTGAGAAGTGTATTGAGGTTATGGTGGATCAGCATATGATTTATTATACCTTAATACGGGAGAAATTATCTCACTGCGTAGTTCAGTTGCTCAATCCAATTTATTTTTCTGGTAAACACAATAAAAAATTTACTGATCTTGTTCCATATATAATGAACAACAAATGTCACTATAATGTCAAGCATATCGTTAGGTAAACAAAGAGAGAGAGCATTACATAGTGTTATAGTATGTTAGATGAGCATTAGAAGCAAGTAGAAAAAAGGCAGAGATTCAGAATACGAGGTCATTAAATTGGCTTGTGGTGTTGGATACTTGAAGTTGAAAGGTGTCGGTATAGATGAGTAAGCAACATTTAAAATAACATTAAATGGGATTCATGCCCCAACAACCAAGAGATAGGCGCTCTTCAATTTATTGTTGTTGTTGGCGCAGGTAATGACCTCTAAACATTACATTTATTCCCACCTCTCTCTCAAAATCAAAATCTTCTCTCTATCTTCAACTTAACGTACTATGTTTGATTATTCACCATGAATTTGCACCATGCCAATGCTTAATTAAATCCTCCATTTAAAGTTTGAATTTCATTTCAGCACTTACATCTTGACGAGTTAACGTGCAATAATGAGTGCCAAAAAAGCGTTAGGGCATCATGGTCGGGGCATCATAATGCCTCGACTCCAAGGGGTGGCGTTGGTGCATTATGAGAATGCACTGTCATCGGAGAGTGCCAGAAATTAAGGCCTCCAGCTCCAAGTGGGGGGGCCTCGTCTATTACGATGCCGGCTTAGCATCTAGGTACCACATAGAGGATTCTATAGTTTAAAGTATTGGGATGTAACTCCCTAATTGTAACCAGGGTTAAGGAAAAATAGATAATTAAGGGACAAAAAAATTGACTTCTAAAATTAGGACAATATCAAAATAAAAAGGCATTATGATTTTTAAACATAATAACCGAAACATCCTTTAAATTTGTAAACTTGAGGGTGGATAAATCGTACAGCTCCTCTAAACACATATAATTAACAACTTTTTATATTGTAATTATAATTTATAGACTTGACCCATTAAAAGGTAGGATCATCAATTCATCATTAATTATTATGAGATAGATTTATAGGATCGATCCTAAAACTTGTCAGACAAATTAAACTGCATGCAAATAATAATAAAAAAGGGAGCATTTATGTGCAAGTAAATACCCTCTTGTATTTGCAAATCTTCTGCTTCCTCATTTACTACAAATTAGGTTTAGATTAAAGGCAGGCCATCAATGCATTGACCCACACCATGAAATTAATGCAAAATTCAAGCAATAACAAGTAGTTGAACCATTCATCTACATTCTGCTCCACGTACCACAATACCTTAATGCTCAAAGAATTACCTATAAACAAATTTTGAAAAGACATATACATGGTACGCGGATAATGTACAAATTATTCTCGTGAAATAAATCATGAGAAAGTTATGCATGGGAATATTAGCCCTCTTAATGGGGTCTTTTTATAATATTAATTGTTGATGAGAAATTACTAAAATTTTTTGCATTTCCTGTGAGTTTTCTTATTGTTTGTATAGAAAAAAAAAGAAGAGAAAATGACTGTACATTCGTTGTATGAATTTTTAATATTAGGCAATAAAAGCTTGGTAGTTCGACTATTATATGCGAACAGTAGTTCCAGCATTAAAAGCTGACAGTACTACTTCCTAGATTTGTTTCACTAAAATTAAACAATGTACTCATTTTCACTATTTTGGAAATTGTTACGTTACTGGATGGTATTCGTCTCTAGTTATGTCGCCCAGGGATTAATCAAATAATTAGACCCGTAGTTTACTCTCACATGATCTGGAGAGACGACAGAGTTTAGTTTGATGGGGTTTTACTTTCATATTCGGATTCAGTGGATTTATAAATCATAAAAAAGAAAAAAAAATAGTATTAGTCTTTTATTAAGGTCCGTTGATTTTGCATGAGTTGATCATAGGTCATATATACAAAAAATCTAAGGCAAACTTTTCCATACATGAAGATGTTATATATAGAACAAGAAAAAAGAAGGGAGCAAGGATTTTATTACTGTTTACTGATGTCATATTAAAGAGATTACAAAATTATATAAATAATTAAAATCCTTCATCTAAAACTCTTATGATGTAGCTTGGATATGATTAGTGAAGTCTTATGATCCTTGGAAATTTTTGTGCCATGTAATGTTATTGTTTAAGTTATCATCTTATTTAAAAGCTTAAATTAATAGTTGGGAATTCAAAATTATATTAGTCTAATACGAGCTAAGGTAATTAATTGGCAGGATACCATCTAAAATATCTTATTCTTATACAATTAAATTAGGTTACAAAATATAGAGAGATATAGATATGAATGTTCAGAAAATACGGTGCCTACCAATATTAACTTACCTAAGCAATTGTATTGAAATAAAAGTAATTTAGTCTTATCAAGGTACTAGAACATCCATATATGAGTAACGCAGATCGTTAAGGCAAATTAGAGATAGTGTGGACATACGCACGGTCTCAGGTTCGATTCTTTATCTGAACATTCGTGATTTAAGTGAGGAACCGTAGTAATAGATTGTTGTGCTTGTTTCCTCTGATGATTATTCAATGTATGTGTAAGTTGGTTTGGACACCTTGATTAAAAAAAAAAAAATAAGAATAAAAAAAGTACTAGAACAGCAAAAACTAACAATTTTACACGTTAACTCAATTAATTAAAGTTGAATTGTACCATACTTTTTAGCAGAAACTTGTTATTAAGTAGCTAGCTTCATCTTCATGACCTGAAGGATGTCATTGATTAACAAATTCTGACATCTTTTTTACTTACCATTTTGCATTCATCCTTACCATATTTAGAGAAGTGAAAAATTAAAGTTGGCTTCTAACTTTGTCATAAATTATCAACTTTAAGTTAACTCAATTTGTGGCATTAACTTATTTAAGGTATATGAAATGCAGTCATCAGTTTTACTCAGATTAATGTCTTTCTAAAATATCTTCACGACAATTAATACTATTCTATGTAGTTTAATTATAATCACCATATCTAATTAGATTGAAGATTTAAATTTGTTTATATATGCAAGATTAAATTCAGCCTTTTCCCTCTTTTCTATAAGTTATAATTAAATGGCTTAAACTTTGCAGTTATAATTTAATATCTCTAGTAAGCATTTTGTTGAATTGATAAGACTGATCTACATAATCAAATGTTTATTTTTCTTAGGTATCATATTAATTTTAATATTTCATCGAATTAATAAATAACATTCCATGGAAATCTTTACTTCAGGAGTAAAGTTTCGTAAGTGAGAAGACAGTAACCATCAACATAAGCTTGAAGAAAAGAACCTGTAAACGTATAACATAAATCTTATAAACATAAAAAACATTTATAAAATTCATCAGTTTGTCGGTGAAATCAACACTATTAATTATATCCATCATGAAATGGTGAAACTATAGAAAATATTGCAATTAATTTGTCACATAAGTAGAAGAGAAATTCTTAAAATTGTGAAGAAGATGAAATTAATAGAAATTGGCATGAAGTTGGATTGTAGGTTATGTATTTAAAGGTTGTTTTGACAGAAGAGGATTTGGTGTTGGGGGCATGCATTAAAGCGATATCTACTTGCCACCTTTAATGCATAACCTGCCCTTCTTTTAATGGGGTTTGATGAAGCCAATTTAAGAACCCTCTTAAGTAGACAAGCCCTCCTGCATGACTCCTGCAATATAATATAATCAAAGGGATTGAGTAGAAATATAAATGTTCTATAGACACCATACTTTCTGTTTGTTCCCTCAATTGGGTTCTCTTCTTTCTCCATTGTTTTTACGTTGAGCGATCGATACACAGAGAAATTAAGAAAAGAAAAGTAGGGTTTTTGATGGTAATGGAATTGACAGAGCTCTCTTTGGCTCCAACACTTTGTGTTGTTGATAAAAGTAGTGGCGCCAATGGTTCCTTGTCACAATCAGAAAACAACCCTTCTAGGAAGAGGAAGCTTTTTTCAGATCAAATATTATTCAAGTCTGGACCGGCTGCAGCTGCTATTCAACCAAGTGTTGATCTTCAACTTAAAGATCGTCTTCCTTTGGATTGGGAGCAATGCCTTGACCTTGAAGTAATCTCTCTCTCTTTCTCTCAAACTTGCCTCTATGAAATCAAATCTTCATCAAAAAATTTTATGTCAATATTAATTTCTTCATACAATAATGTTAAATATCTTAAGTTTATATCAAAATTTTCACGTTAGATAATGATTTAGAGTTACGCACATCGATCATCCAGTGGCGGAGCTATTTGTTGGTCCGGATAGTCGTAGCCACCCATTGGTCTTACAAATTTTTTTAGAAAAAAATTATATGCTAATATAATATTTTTACCTCGACAGATTCACTTTTTAGTATTTTGGCTACTCTATCCACTGAACCTGATACTTTAACGTCCATTAGTGCAACTTTTTTAAATTCATTTTTTATACTGTAAACCCCTTCTTTCGTTGAATATTACATTTCGGCCTCCCAATTTTTTTTCTTACTCCACACCTATGACCATTTATCACATATTAATTCTCTAAAAAGCTTAATTAATGATTTGAGATATTGGATGTGGTGTTGCAGTCAGGAAGAATGTATTATCTGAACAGAAAAACATTGAGAAAGATCTGGGATTGGCCGGAGAACAACAATCAGAAACTAGACCTAGAATTGAACATGTCAACAGTCGATTCAAATTGTGCAGGGGGAAGCAGTAAATCAAATGATTCAAGCAAGAACAATTCCTCATCAAGTAGCAACATGGTGGCATTGGCTTGTTTAAATTGTCATCTTCTTGTAATTCTATCAAAAGCCTCTCCTTCTTGCCCTAATTGCAAGTATGTTCACTCTCTCCCCACTTTACAAACCCAAACGGCAAAACCCCCGGCTGCTAATAATAAGTCCCTTAACACCTTAAGCCTCTTGAATTGATCATTAAATGTAATATCTAGAGGCTTTTTAATTATAAAACCTTTTTTAATTATAACTATATTAAGTTTTGATATTGTATTGAAAATATGGTAAATATAATATCTATGCAACTTGCTTTGCGTGTAGTTTATTTACTACTCATTTGCATTTATTACCTTTGGTACGTGAGAGAATTTTGAGGAGCTAAAAAGTTATTCTAGACAAATTTCAGTTCAACGTAGTTAAATAACTCTTAAAAATAGTACATGGAATGGATGAGAAAATGTTAGCTGGCTCAAGCATATATTTTATATCTTTGTCAACCATTTTCACTACAATTTTGATAATGGCCCTAGCCTAGCCAAATTTTCATTCAGAACTTTCCAAATTTTGGTACAGATAGTTAATGATTAGTTTCGAATTTTATACATTGAAAATTCTTAAATATGAAAATCTTCATTTTTTATTAAAATAAAAATATATCAATCATATGCGAACTAAATTGAAAGATAACATTTTAATCAAAATTTTATAATGTAATCCAAATATATGTATATATTTTTTTAAAGAAAAATGAAAAATCTGAAGATATGCATGAGTGAAAATGATGGATGTGCAAAATCAGTAGTGAGATGGGAATGTGAGAAAGATATGTTCAGTTTCCAAAGTAAAATTTGCAGGTAATATGAGTGGAGTGGGCTTGTCAAGTGGAGGAAGAAGAAGAAGCTCTGAGCACCTGAATTAGCAACAAGTCACAAGTTCAAATAAATCATACACTGGGATCTGTGAGCTTTGAGAGTCGTGTTCGCCGGTTTTTAATCCATTTGCAGGCTGCCACATTTGAGCTTTTATTATATAAAACTAAAATTCTGACGACTGAGATGACAAATTCAGTTCGCCATCTCTCACTTCACCCACGTAACAACGTATTTTTAATGGTGAAAAAGCATATTTGTGATACGTAGTTCAAATAGAATGAAATAAAAATCCCCTAGATTATGGAGAATTTGTGGAAACACAAACAATAGTCGACAATTAATTGTGTTATACACTGTAAAAGATTCTAAATTATGATAATTAGAACAAAGCACGTCATTATCTATGGATATTGTTTACAAAGTGCTATGGTGAGATTTTTTTTTGTGCACCTATTTGTTAGAGTAGGAGATGGTTAATCTATCTAACTTTTACCTTACTCTCGACATTTTAAGCCTAATATTAATTTAATTTTTGATAAGTAAGATTTCTCAATCCCATTGAGTCGGGTATTAGAGAATAGAGACCCATTATATGATATTTTTTTCATCCCTAAAGTATAATTTATGAAATATAAAAAAGTTTTAAATAGAACATATGTGACCATCATAACTGAAAAATTTCATCCTCTCATTAAAAAAAAAAAAAAAAAAAAAAAAATTCGAAATTAATTATAGGACAAGCTTCAACTCCGATTCCATTTAACCTTTTAAGTAATCAAAACTTTAAAATTATTTAAAATAGTTAAATTATTTTTTAGTTAATAAAGTGGAATGATTTTTTTATTTTTATTATTTTGATATATAAATAATAGAGTATTGCTACACATATATTTTTCAAATTTCACATTTTAAGTTATTTGTTATGGTAAATGACATTGTCATATCTAGTGATTACGAACCAGGCTTGGCTCGGTTGTTTGAATCGGGACTCGACGCCTTCACCGGGTCGAGTTACAAATTTTTCTGTTAATTCAAAACCCTGAAAATTAGAACATCAATCTGCGAATAATTAAAGGCTAGAATATTAGGGCTTTTGAAAAGGAATGACAGGTGAGTGGAATGGTGATGACGAAAGTGATTTTTAGTGAGTGAATTGACCGGAAATCGCAAAAATAAGTTATCGGAAAAAGCTTGCTGTTGCCGACAATTGGGGAGGCTAACAGGGGAGAGGTGAGATGAGTTTTGGTCAGGAGGCTAAGGGGAGTGTTGTTGTCGCCAGAAACAAGCCCTATTTTTTGACGCCAACTGTGATGTTTAGGGTGTTTTTGCAAGATTTTAAATCTATAAGGACTTATATGTAATTTATAGGGGTATTTTTGTTGGATTTCAAATCTTTGAACATCGATTTACCTGCCAGTCAAACCGGTTAAACCGCTCGACCTGAGACCCGATGGCCTAGCCGGGTCACTGCAAGGGTCAGGTTTCGAATCACTGGTTATATCATTTCAAGTGGCGAGACATGGAATCGCCACATACCTAATAGTTAGGTTATTCCACTATGAGATTACTAAGTAGTGTGAAACAATTGGCTAATGACTCCAACAACCAAGGGTGTTTGTTATGCTTTAGGCTATAAATAATAGAGCTTATGCTTAGTGAGATATAGAGCTGAAAAAAAGAAACATACTAGAGAGAGCGGAGTGTGTCTTCTTTATAAGCCAGTGCCAATGAGAAGCATTTTCAAAGTGCGTCTCAAAAAGCAATAAGCCCTAATTGGGTCATTATAATGTTTTTCTTAGTGAATAAAGAAAGGTTGAAGGTTGAAGGTCGACGTCTTTGTGTTTCTTTCCTTGTTATGTTCTTTGTTTGTGTGTAACATGATTGGGTTTACCTAGGTTGGCTGGCTAAGCAAGACTTAGGGCTATTAGAGAGCTTGTCGCATCTTTGAAAAAAGTTTCTATGACAAGTTGGTATCAAAACTACGATTTAAGACATCTCAATTTATTTGTTTATCAATTATCTAACAAAAATAATTATTGTACAAGTACAAAGTGTGCCAACCCCAACCTTAAATGGATTTATACACTATAGCAAAACAGAGGATCCACCACAAACTTGTGAGTGGTATATGTATATTTACCAAATACATTTTACATGTGATGTACAGTTAAATCTTGATAAATTAACAACCTTAATTAAATATTTTGGCCAGTCTCGACTTATGATCAATGTGGTAAATTAATAATTCACTAAATTATAATCTTCTTGTACATCAAAATTACATATATACATGACTCAATTAGGAGACCTTTGTAAAATATAACTCCAATGTTACTTTTTAAGCAGAGCTATTCCCTATACCACATTAATTACTAGCTATAGGCTGATGATGTTATTTCCAACCGCTATTCATTATACCACATTAACTATATACAATATGTACATGCATTAAGTTCAATGCTTTGGAAAAAGAAAATTAAAGAATGCTTCGATAAATTAATAAATTTTCATGGTTTCAAGAATATTAATTTATCAAAGTTTAACTGTATTTATAATTGGGTATGGTAAAAAGTCCATAATTTTTATCACAAGTAACAATAAGTGATAAATAATATTAATGCAAGTGTTTGTAATTGAGTATTTACCACATGCATCATAATGTGTGTAATTGCAAATTAATTATTTTTCTAGTAATAAAAATTCTTTTCTTTTTTCAATTTTGGACAAGTTCATTTATTTGTAAAATTAGCATTGATATTAACTGTTGCAATTATAAATGTTCAAAGAACATTTTTTATGATGAAGATTGTAAAAAATTGACTACAAAATCGAATGAGAATTCAATTGTTAAATGATTGTAATTTATTACATATATGGGGAGGGAGATATTTGATGACATAATTGTCAATAAAGCAATTATGTAAGGTTTCCAAAATCTAAAAATCGTCAAGGACAATTATAGAATTGATAATCTAAAATATTTAACTTTTAAAACTAAATTTTTAGATTACATTTTTTTATGTTTATTGCTTCAATATATATTTTATTGTAAATTTATCAATTCAGATCTATTAACCCCATTAACTAGAAGTTCTGACTATGCCACATGTCTAATGGTTGAGGTTGTTGACTATGAGAATGTCAAGCAAATGAAACAATTGGCTAATGACCCTAATAAACAAAGGTGTTGGTTGTGCTTAGACTTGGGTAAGGTCCGGTCTCAACTGGGTCTGGGTCTGGGCCTGATTGGGATTGGTCCCATCTGGGACCAGTCCCAGGCCCATGAGAAATTTTAGGGCTCGGATCAGTCTTGGGCCTATAAAGCCAGTTCCATAGGCTTGAAAAATTTCATTTCACCCCCAACTTTTTTTTTTTATATATTTAGTGGTTAAATAAAATTATGTAGGGGGGTTTATGTAATTTTTAGGGGCTTGAAAAATTTTTTGCACCCCGAGATTAATAAATTTTATAAAATATTAATTTAACCCTCAATATTTTTATCAATTTCAAAATTACAGGGGGTTTTTAGATATTTTTCAGAGGACTTTTTTGAAAAAATGCGAGGGGGTTTGGGCCAGGGCCTGGTCCCAGACCCGGGCTTTGGAGGAGGGCCCGATCTAAGGACTAGTCCCTCCTCTATGGGCCTGATCCGGGTTTGGGACTAGGTCTCATAGGATCAGTCCTAGGACAGGTTTTTTGGGACCAGTCTCAAATGCCCAGGTCTAGTTGTGCTTTAGATCATAAAGAAGGGCTTAATGCTTAGTAAGAAATATAAGTGAAAAACACAAAACACCAGAAAGAGAGGAGTGTGCCTTTGCAAGCAAGTGCGAGAGAAGCATTGTGATAGATACCTATCTCAAATCCAACAATCAAACAACCATAGTATCTATCGACCTAGAATAAGCCCAATAAACACACCAGCAAACTCACACAATCAAAAGATGAACAAAATATGATGATATTAGTATTGATATCAGGTAACTACACCAATCAACACAAATTTAATTCAACAGAAAAATAGAAAGCAGAACATTAATGAAGATAAAAATGAAAACACTAAGGAAAACGTAGCTTACTAGGCTTCGAGGGCCAACTACCTCCCAAATGACACTTTTCCACTTTTTCAAAATATCCCCTTAGTTCTCTCTGTCCAATTTTGTGCCATTCAGTCCCATACTCCATAACAAAATTCACCCACTAACCACACTTATGCTACCATCTATCCTCCCAAATTCTCCCTCATACTCACTTGCTCAGAACCTTTTTTGCTACATTGCCAATAATCTCCTATTGTCCCCTCTTATTTCCCTCATTCCACAAGGA